TATCTTACTGATAGTGAGCCTGAAAAACCTATTGTTGTTGATGTTGATAGGGTTTGATGAGTTTGGCATTTTCTTATATATAAGGGTATTTTTCTAGTATAATTTCTTGCTTCGATAACTATGTTGTTATCCGAAATATAGTTAAGTCGCAATGTATCGAGCCTTTACCTTACAGCGATTATTTTTAATCCTAATAATTGCCTCATAATTTTCATCATGAGATTTATGGAAAGCTAATGTTGACTTGCTTAATGAGAAATCATTTGAGGTCTACTAATAAATTTCTAGGATGAATTTTTTTTAAGTGGGGAAGATTACAATGCTTTGTTTCAAATACCGAGAGAGCTAAAAAGGGGAGAGGAAGTCAAGAGTCGGGCAACTAAAGAAGGGGAGAAGAAGCGAGGAGTCGGAAGCTGAAAGGGGCGATGAGCGAGTGGGTTGGGAATTCAAGTAGGTGAGCTCGCCCTATAGGGATTGAGAGAATTTGTAGCAGAAGCCGACCCTAACGACTTACCTGGAGATTCGAACGGTGGGCGCAGGAGGCAACGAGTGTAAGCTATGTCTTTCACCCAGGCTGCGTCGATGAATGACGGCGTTTCTGGCAAGCAGAGGAGGAGGCGGAGTCGGTCTCATGCAGAGGAGTCGGTGTCAGTGTCGTGTGGTCGATCAAAGCAAGTTGAGAGGAAGGAGCCCTCACGCATAAGAAGGAGGCATCATCACTTGCAGAGGGGAAGAAGAAGATTTTCATGTGCTTTAGGAGGCATCATCACGTGCAGAGGGGAAGAAGAAGATTTTCATGTGCTTTAGGACTCGACCGGGATATTAAAGGTAAAATTTATTAAATTTATTGATTTAATAAGAGAATTATACATATATTTATGTATGTATTGTAATGTTATTAGAAAATTTTATTAAATTAGGATTTTTTGTTAGAATTTCAGATTGGAGGGGAATAGGAGCAGTCTGCGTGCTAAAAGACGATTGACCGGAGTAAATTTCAGTAAAAAAAGTCTAGATTTATATTATAATTCAATTAATGAAAATTAATAACAAAATAAAGTTAACTAGGATTTCATAAAATGAAATAATGGAAACCGATACTTAAATAATGTAAAGTTAATTATTTAATTAAAATAATAAATAAATTAAATTTTAGTAATATGAATATCATGTTTATTTTAGGCTTTTAATTTTAGAAGAGTCCATGTCAAGGAAAAATAGATAACAAATTAATCGACATCGATGTGAGTACTCGTATTTTTAATCTATGGTAACATTTTATTTTTCTCAACTATTTCGTATTAGTTGATGATATTTGTATAAACTTTATTTTGATTGATATATTCTTTTCTTTATTAGTTAGATTTTTATGAACGTTATATGTTTGTAGCTACATACTATCACGCATTGGTTAATGTTATATACACATATACATATAGTATATTCAATTGAATGTAGTGAGCACATGAAATGTATATATATATGACATTATGAAGCCACCCCTTTATTGTACTAGCAAAATAACTCTAAGATACCCGAGCACATAAATTAAAAAGGATATTAGTATTGAAGTTTAATTAGTACAATTTTTAGATAATGTTCATGTGATGGTCGTATAGATACAGAATGATATGGATATGTTATTAATATAGTAAGATTCATTGAATAACATCATATTCTTAAAATATCAAATATTTATATTGATTTATTAAAAGTTTAACCGGCATGCATATTATTTTTTTCTCTTGTATTAATATAGTTTAAGAATGTTAATATTCACTAGCTTTATTTTGTTCACTTTTATTTAAAACTAACTTTTCAATTATAAGTAATTTATTTAAAGATGAACAATAAAAAAGATACTTTTATAGAAGATGCGGAGAACATCTAATGAGATAAATTTAATTTTATTGCTTTAAATTAATTCAATTAGTGACTTTCAATTGTTAATAGTTAGTTATAGAGAAAACAAATATGAAAATCTTAATTCTCAATGTCCGACCATCTGTACCTATCTTAGCTAATTCCAAGCACCGAGTCAAGCTATGAGAAGAGGAGCATATAGTGTCGAGGTATCTTAGAGAACTGAAGCCAACTATCAGTACTGTTGTACAACTATAACCATATTGGTGCATATTTGATGTACATATACTAGCTTCAAATGTAGAGAGAAGTTCAATACAAATTTTACCCTTGGATCAAGTAGCATGTGTAAGCCAAATGGAGCATCCAAGCCAACTCCACTTGAGAAAAAAGCAGTTCATATTCGAGAAAAAGCGGAGAGCACTAACACTCCAAAATTCGTTCTAGCCAAGATTTGTTTTAAGTAGTGCCACAAATTTAGGTATATTGTATTGATAGCCAAAACAAGAGTATGATTTCATTTACTGGGCAGACAAAGGTGATGAGAAGGTGATAATGCAGATGAGTACTAGCTTTTGGCTAACGAGAGAAAAATGTTAGGTAATCAGATGGGTCCATCAAACTGAGCCAATGAGAGAGACAAAGTGACTCCGCGATAATATTTTCGTACTCATTGTATTGTGTAGGAAAATGTGTGTCGGCTCATTACAGATTAAGGCATTTTTGAAAATGTGGTATCTACACAAGTGATTGAAAATTGAATATGGCCACACAGAAGTGCACCAAATCACAATTGACAAGAGATGTCTCTTGGAGATTTCTATTGATGATAAGTTTTAGAAGAATTTGTGGTGCGATGTAGTACCTATATATGTAGATCACATTTTCTTAGGTCGTCCTTAGCAGTATTATCGTTGCAAATATGACTTGGAATGTCTTTACAGTGACCAGAAGATCGCAGCAGCCATGAAACACACGATCAAAGGGATCCCAAAGACTGTCATTCGAATTTCTATTTCAGCCTGAATATTCTTCCTTTCTAATTTATTTGTTATTCATTCATTTCCTCTTTCTTTATTTTCTATTTTTCTTACTTCTAAATAGATATATGTCATTTTACTCTGGTTGGGAGGATTTTTGGCTATTGTTATGCTATTTAGAGATGATTTTTTTTTTCCGGGTTATTTTGATTGGAGTGTTGTGTCCATAGATTTCTTTCAAGCATAACCTCATAGAATTGAGGTGGTGATCTCTTCCAAACGTTCGGAGGCCTCCTTCGTCATCCAACTTGCAAAACACTGTTGTTTGCAGTAGGAAACCCATTATTTTCCATTCTGAATGGTTGTCTAGCGCCTGCACCACGCCAATTTGTTGTTTGGCTGATGCTATCAGTCCATACTATCGAACTCACCCAACATGTTGTATTATTGCATATTTCACTTCATACAGCTTTCCCAACTTCTCTACTTCTTTACAACCAGAAATTGCCCTTTTTTGCTTCTAATTCACTGGCCCATCGTCATTCACAACATTTTTCAGTTGCCCTCAACCTTCCCACTCACGTAATAGAGTTAGCAAATCTTCACTTGTTCAATCTAATCTTTTTGGAAAAGTCAGTTCCCAACCTACAAAATCCCTATTCCTTAAAATTGATTATGTCATCACTTAAAAAGCAGGCTCTAACCCAATTATTGAGCATCATATTTTAGTTCGTTAGAAGAATTAGCATCATCTAACCACAAATAGTCAACTCATACAAATTTTGAGACTCTAGCCATATAATTGCAGTGACGTTTTTTGAATTTTAAATCAATGGAATAGAGTTCAACTAAGCCCGAAGAAGTTGAGATAGCACATCCCGTGGTTAAGCCAAATCAGCCCACTAAACTTACTATAAGAGCAGAGGCAAAAGCTAGCAAAAAGTCATAATCATGAGCCTGGACCAAAGCCCAAATGGATATATTTAAATATAATTTTGTTTCATTTAAAATGCCTTGAAAATCATGTATGGATAGCCCTCCCTCTCTCCCTCCCTCCAATTTTCCCTCCAAAATGAGATATCTTAAGGGCCATGTCTGGGATTATAAATAAGAGTTGAAATACAATGAAATGATTACTGTTGAATGAAATATTTTGGTCGATAAAAAATCTCTTCATTTTTCTTGGAGCTTGATGGCTATAGGCAATTCTACTTTTTGGTATGATTTAATAATTATCCTTGTTCGCTGTCTTTATTAGCAACTCACATAAAAACTGCTCTAAACCTCCATCCCATCTCTCTGCACATTCTTAATATCATCTAAGGTCAGCCATGAATCATCCAGGGCCTCAAACACACTCCAAACACCTACATATAGCTCTTGCTCAACTAGGGAACACTAGAACATGGTCTTATTCTCTACATCTTGACATCCCTGTAAACTCCACCAAACTCTAAAATCTACTTTAAATCATAAATTAAAGTCCTAAACTAATCCTCCATCATCATTTTCAAAAATTTAATACATGTAAAATCCATTCTGTAAAGTGAGCTTCCAAATCAACAAAAACTAGCTCAATCTAGCACTAGGATTGGTATTCCTTTCACTTAACCCCTCTAAACCCCTCACATTTCCAGATCACATCTTCAGTCACAAATTTAATTACTTGTAGCCATTTTCATTCATTAATCTCACCGAAAGACTACCTACCATTAACAGTAGAACTACAATTTAATCAATATTTCCCAAAACATAAAATATTTTACAACAAATCTGGCCACGCCAATGCAAATGCATCAAATATGTTGCCCTTTCATGCGCTACAGTACATCAAAAAAATAATATCTTGACAAAATAATAACTTCACCGAAGCCCACTAAAAACAACTCGGCAAGAAATAACAAAACTTTGGCATGCCCCATTATCACTACAGCAAATGCAACCATGAATTGCTACACAATATAAACAGCATTTACCAATCCCAAAATTTGGGGTCAAATTGGCTCCTAAACCATTACTGATTTATCCATATCATAGGACCAAGTAATTTCACTACCAAACAAGCAACGCCAACTTTTATAATTCATTGAACAAAGGTAACATTCAAAAAGAATAATCTGAAAACAGTCATCTGCTATCAGAGGAAAAATTCCTTACACAACACCATCTACAGTCAAAGAAGTTTCAGCTATATTTGTGGCGACAATAATCCGCCTACAATTTGGATGCGCTGGACTGAACACACGAACCTATTTTGAAATAATAAACAGTCGGTCAGAACCATTGATAAAATAGTAGTGGTTACGGGAGATACAAAATAAAAAAAGAAGCATAATCATGAAGTTAATGACTGATTTTTTTTATTCAAGCCATCATTATGAATCTAAGTAATGATGCAATGTCCAATCAAAAAAATATACAAAACAGCTTTAAGCACTCAAAAGGAAAACTGAAAAAACTAAACAACCAAGAGAATGTCACTTGTATGGGAAATTTAAAAATAAAAGAAACAATGTCAAATTCAGCAAAGAGCCCCTCAATTCCATCGCATTGAAACTAAACCAGCCCTTAAACCATTGAGAATAAACAAAAGAAAAATAAATGTAGGATATACTGTCAAATGAAATAGACGTAATATCAAATGAGCAATAGAATAATGAATCCAGATACAAATCAATATGCTCAATACATATGATTCATCATAAGCTGACATACATTCCATTCAGATCAATAACTGCAATACTTATTAATTTAACGTATCAACAAAATATCAGAATATAAAAGAGAAAACATAGCCAATTCCTAATTGCGTTGCACAATAATAATTATAAAGTTTTAAACAACAAGGTGAACAAGTTGACTACATTTTCACCCACTATTAAATGTACTTTAATTTCTGGCATGATGTGCTATTTATTTCAACTCTAGTTTCTTTTGATCTTTTACACAATTCTAACGTACTTTATAGTTCTACATCATCAGCAAGTTACTTCAGTTTTCCATATTTTCTAGATGAAGTCATTACAGCTGGAAACTAAAACATGAAAAAAAAAACTTGCGAATAAATTAATAAGAGCAAGCTTGAAACAAAAAAGTATGATCAAACAAGAAAACAATAAACTAAGGTTCCCCAATCTTCAGCATTAAAGCTATTTACTCAGTAATTTTAAAAAATAAACACTTAGTTTCTTAATGCGAATGAATGCAGGTTTATTCATGGACATACAACAATTTTATTGAAAAATCATCATCATTATCATTGTTATCATCATTAGTGAAACCGTTCTAGGACTCCCAGAAAGTATTTGGGAAGTGAACTTCGCGGGGAGGCGGTTGTGGAATAGTGATGGAATGAAATACGGGTGTTTGACAAAGTTTGGGCAGAGGGATAAATATAGCTCGGCATCTATCCCAGCTGAAAACAATCGCCGAACGAGAAAAGAGTGAGGCACGAATGTCAAGGAGATTCATCATATGTTATTATACAAGTGACTAACACACCACTTGCAAAAGGATAAGGATAAAACACTCAATTATCGTAGAAAATCAGAGATTGCAATCTCTAAAACTCACAAACAAAACAAAAGTCTAAAAAAAAGTAAGAAATAACAATATAAAAAGCCCCTGAAAAAAAGGAACCCTAATTAGCCATCAAAATTAATGTCAATAAAATAGAAAGAACTTCAAATCTGGCCGTAAAAATTTAGAGCAAGAAGCCCACTTTAGTCTTTATTGAGATGCGATTATGCAAGGTTTCCTGTGGACGTGGGAGATTGTTGTTAATCACTCGCTACTCGATCCCGTGATCACGGGAAAACACCAAAGTGGCTTCTACATTCAGTTTGAAAGCAATCCCTCATCCCGCATCATTCTCCTCGAGTAGGAAAGACTTTGCCTACTTCATATGAAGATTCTAGAATCAATCTATCATCATCAAAACAAAATCGTCTTATTGTATCTGAGATTTTCCACTAAAAAATTTATATTTCCATCCATTTCAAGCAAATCCAAAACGCATCTCCTTCCAAAGTCTATCCTGATATAATAATTATGCATCTTTGTTTGGCAAAACCAGAGTTGAATATACATATAGACGAGTATTCTCACAAGCTAAGTCTCAAGCGATTAAATAATATAACATGTTTCTTCTACTTCTCATACTCGACTGGGCGCATCCAGTAAATAAGTTTGTCTAGAAGAACTGACTATTAAATGAAATCTATCATAAACTAGGTCACACTCAAGGTAGCCACCCAAGAGATAAATTGTAAGTTAAGATGTCCGTGAAGGGTGTGCATTTTACATTAAAGTAAAAACAAAAGGTACAAAAGAGACTTATAAAAGCTACACAAAAGAAGCTATGTAGTTGGCATCTTCCTCAACCACATTAAGAAAATCGGAGCCACAAGTGTAGGTATCCCAAATAAAAGACTTATCCAAAGCCAGTTTAGCAAAAAAATAGGCTGCTTTGTTAAATCATCTATAAACAAAAAAAAAAATAGCACTTCTTTAAATTCAAACAAAAAAGCTAGATCTTGTTCATTACCAAACTGCATTTGATGGTTCTCCTCCAGTTCCTTCTAGAGGTATTGCATAATAGTGTGGTCATCCCCCTCGATAATGATACCCTTGGTTTTATTACCAAATTGCATTTGTTAGTCAGGATATCAAACGACTCCCTCACATGGGTTGCCTCTTTTCTGGTATTGACTTAACGAACTCACAATTTTCTAGAATTACAAATCCAGCTTAAGGATCTCTTATGGGCTTAGCTTGAACGGTGAAAGTTGAGACTCCTCTCTTATGTCATCATCCTCTCATGTCATTGTTCAATTCTTCAGCTACTCCCTGCTCAGAAAAAGTGATCGCATTTATGTTTGGGCAATCAGATGCAATGTACCCAAAACTATGACATTTAAAAAACTTTCTAGCTAAGATAGATTTGGGGGTGTTGATAGCTTCCACCCTTTTATCACTTCGGATTGCTTTCTCCTTAGGTAGGGTTGGCTTGGATGTTCTCCTTGGTGTACTCTTAATACCTGATCTGATAGTTAAAATTAATATTATTATGTTGTCTCTCTACCTTCAAAGCTTGGGTCTACACATCTTGCAATGTTCAAAAGGCTGCAACTTTAAAGCAATGTCAAAAGGCGGTCTCAATCCTCCCAAATATTTGGTCAGGCTCCACTAGCCCACACTTCATTATAGATTACTCAAACTCGAAGGTATACTCCACTACCCAGAGATATTGTTTTTGTAAGTGACGAAGCCTCAAGTACATATCATGTTTGTAATGTACCTACAGGTATTTGTGTTGCTTCTCTTGTTTCATATTGAACCAAGCAATAATTTAACTCTTCTCTTTCCGCTGCCGAAACTACTTCAAATTCTCTTACCATGAAAAAGCATTCTTTCTTAGCTTCATAATGGCTAACTTGTCCATTTTGTCAGGTGGAATATCCTTATTCAAAATTTTGTTTCACTATTTGGAACCACTCTATAAACTCGTTCGAACCCATACAATCGTCAAAATCTGGTAAGTCAATCTTTACTCCAACAACATGGCTTCTCCTCTAATACTAAATGTCGAATTGACAAGACATCGGCATTTCTTCATTGGAAACTTAACAATGAAAGGAATTCATTACGCTCTTGATCTGACGGGACACAATTATGATTACGAGTGACCCCAACAGATTGTCTCCTGTCAAAGGCAACAAACCTATGTTGCATTTTAAGGATTTCCTATTGCATATTCTGTATAGTAAACTCATAAACACCTCTTTGCAGATCTCTCCTAAGCACGGATGATATTGGAGTTAACCTAAACCACCATAGGAAAATAAATATTACTACTAAAAGCATATAGGCGATTGCAACTGACACGCTTAAAAGAAAAAAGACAACAATAAGACACTAAAAAATCTTGAATAGCAACAGTCACAACACAAACACTTACCTAGGGTGAATCTCGGGAGGTGGTGGAAGCTGATAGGGGCTTCGAAAAGCGGTAGCAAGTGGGTGGGAGGATTGGCCAGCTTAGAAACAATGGCTAGGAGCGGTTCTGGGTGATGGGGACAATAGCTAGGTTGTGGAGAGGTGGTTTTGGCTGCTAGAATGGCAGCAAGGCGGCGCTGGGAATAGTATTGGGCGGCTGCAACAACAATGGTTGTGTCGAGGAAGTGCTAGAACAGCAACGAGGCTACAGGGATGTGATTCAGGTAGTTGGAACAGCAATTGACAGCAAGGCTAGGGGCTTACGGAACTTCGGCAGTGTGGCAGAAGGATGGGAGAAGTTGGAGGGAAGGTTGCATGCAGCTGGGACAACAATGGACAGTATGGTGAGGGGCTTACAAGGCTGTAACAGCAAAGTAGAAGGTTGGGAGAAGGTGGAGGGAAGGTTGCAGGAGGTTGGGAAAGCAGCAGAGGTGTCGAAGGGCAGCTAACAGTGAGCAAGCTACAGTTGAGAGAGCGGGAACTATAGAATGACAAACAAGAGGTGGTTCTCTGGGCAGCTGCAAAGAGAAGGAAAGTGTGGTAATAAAGTAGGAGGTGTGAGGAGGATTTCGATAAAAGATAAAACCACCTCGAGAGCAAGATACATTCAAAACACAACTCGCTCTTGGAAACAACCTTAGAAAGCTAGAGGCGGACGACTGTCCTAGCAAAAAACATGAAATATAACTGACCTAAAACACAAAATTAATATATTTATAAACTTAGGGCAAATAGGAGTGGACTCTATTCCAATTATAAGGGATATCCACCTAAAGGAAGTCTATATCAGCCCTCCTAGACTAATCCAAGCCGCGATCTCCATGATATTATAGCTCAAATCAGGCCACTATAACAGAACATGGAAGGGGGTATGGGTCCCGCCGTAATCTCCCGAGGTTGGGGGAGATTCGATCTCATCTATCGAAACTTATGTCTCCTCAGTAGTTAGATCGGCCCAGTTGAAGGTAGCGAAAATGTTGCAAGCTCCAGGTAAATCAATCATGTAGGCATTATCATTCCAAAACACATCCTAATAGAACGAATATCCATTCATATTTGGCACAACTTGAGCTGGAGCTACATAATAACGTAAATTCTCACGAGCTAAACCCTGAGTAAGTGGATATATAATCTGCTTCTCCCACTCATACTCGGTGGATGTGTCTGCCAAACATGTCTACTAGGAGGAATTAATTTTGGGACAAAATCTAAGGCAGGCTAGGCCATATTGAAATGTAACTACTAAGAAGAT